ACCTATCCATTGTCTGTAATAACCTCTATCTGTAATTTTAGATGGGTTTTCGTTCCGTATTATGATGTATTGACCAAATTTGTGTATGTTGTCAATACTAGTGTTGCATCCGTATCGTTTATAATAAGGAGTTACATATCCTATTACTCTTCAAGGAGTTCTATTGTGAATATATGCCTGTAACATTGCTGCTTCTGCCTATAAGCATAATGGAATGTTTTGCAAAGTAATAGAGGCACGTATTTGATTAAATATTGTTTTATGTGTTCATTCTGCTACTCCATTCTGTTGCAGTGTATGCTTTACTGTTAGTCTGGATTTTGTTCCTTGACTAATTAAGTATTCTTGGAAGAATTTCCTGCAGAATACTCTATTGTTATTGCTTTGCAATTGTTTTATTCATATACTGTGTTGTGTAAATATGTTTGTGCTCTATTGAACATACTGAGTATATGTGTTGTCTTTTGTTCGTAATTTTAATAAAGATACCCAACGTGTTGTGTCATCAACTAACGTTAATAGATATTGTATATTCTTATATCCTTCATGGGATATTGGACCTATTATATCCATATGTATTATATTGCTGTAGTTTGCACTTATTTCCGAAGATCTTGTTTTTGGATGTGCTGTTTGTTCAATGTTTGCTTTTATACAATCAACACATTGTTTTTCATCAAAGTTCGTTATCTTTTAAGATAATATTGTTGTGTTGTTCTGTAATAAACGTTTAATATAATCATAACTGATATGACTGAGACATTTATGTAGATTGTAAACACTGATTCTGCTCATGGAATTCATGTAATGAGTGTTTCTTAACACATATAGGTTGTTTTCGAGTTTAATCATTCCTATTTTGCTTTGTTTGCAATAAATAATACATTCTGCTTGTTTGAACATGAATGTGAAACTGTTGTTGCATAATAACGCTTGACTTATAAGTGAAAAGTTCAAATCTGAATGATAATAAACATGTGTTAACATTATTTTGCTAATTACAGGATTGTGTGTATTTCCTGAATTTCCCCTTTTAATTTCAATAATCATATCTCTAGCCTTTGTAAGAGTCACTGTTGATTTGTTTGCAAGTGTAACTGTTACTAGGGATACGTTTCGTACGTTTGTAAGGCGAAAGTAATATGGTGTAGCATGAATTGTTGCACCAGAATCGATTATATCAATTGTATTAGGGATATATTTATTTATTAGCACATTATTTTCGTCCAAGATATTATTATAACATACCCAGTTAGTAAATGGGTCGTTTGTGTCTGTGTTTGCAATAGTATTTGCCTGCTGAGAGGCTGGTACATCCGTCATTTCAACGTCTGGCACCTGTTCAATGTATGCATTCACACACAGCATAGTTGCCACCAGTACAGATTTCGATTCTATTGCTTCTATCGCATTAGCCAAAGGATTAGCCTTTTTGGCTCGGGCATCTAGCATTGATTGAGTCAGTGACTTCTGGCAATCACAGGAGAAGTGCCCTGATTTGCCACAATTGAAGCATTTTGATGCAGGGGTTGGTTTGCTCGTATTTTTGTTGTTTCCCTTCTTTCTGTACTTTTTATCTTTTGTACAAAACATATTTGCCTGTCTGCATATTGTAGGCTTGTTGTTTATGTATTGTGTAGGGTTTTTGATGTGAAAATCGTTAAACGCTTGGCACAGTACTGTAATAAGTCTTTGCAGCTTGATAGGTTGATACTCGGATTTGGGTTTTCCATTGTAAAACATGTCTCGAGCTTGTTCCATAGCTGTAATAGTACCACTATATTCAGGAGGGGTTGCAGCATAGATAGCTGCTCGATACATAGTGTCTGTAGGTTTTAAATCGTCTGCTACTAGCTGTGCATATATCTGCTCTAGTTTATCAAGTACTCGTCCGAAGTTTTTAACGTGGTCATTACATTTAAATAGCAAAGACTCATTGTATGCTTTACACATAACTGTATGAGGGTTGAAACGTTCTTCTAATCCACTCATAAGAGTTTTAATCAACGTTCTAGTATGCATAAAGTTAGCCATTATATGATCCACTACTTTATCAATTATTGATGTGTAGATTGTGTGTGCAACCTTAATGTCTTCAGGCTTTGGTTCATTTGTGAACAAGTGCATATAGCCTGTTGCTGCAATAGCAGAGTTAATCCAATACTTCCATATCTTGAATCCAGATGTGTCTTTTAGTTGCACAATGTTGTGTCCAAAGTGTTTAGGTACATCAGCAGGTTTGTAATGACTTGTATTTGTCCTTTGCAAGTTATTCGAAGGTGTAGATGAGTTTGGTACAGTTTCGTTTGGCGTATAGAGATTGCAGGTACTTAGTGAGTCCATCATAGATTCGTAGTATCAATGCAAAGTAGTGTAGCATAGTCTTGTAGTAGTAATGTGAGGTGTTAAGCAGAGAGCACAAGGCTCATAACCTGTTAGAATGTGTATTCTTAGGTTATCACACAAGTAATGAGGGTGTAGACCCTGATAATGATGTTTATTTAGTTACTAAGTTGCTCGCTTTTATGTTATTCATTCGTCTGTATGTCTTAGACATCCAATGTATCATTATCTTGTATCTGATACTTATTGTGTATCCGATACATGTCTTGTATCGTGTATCCAATACATGTCTCATTGTTCTGTGTCTGTTCCGTTTATATGCATATTAATCATCTTATCATTACTGTAGCGTCTGTAATTGTATCATTGATTGTAATACATGTTAACACTTAGCTTATTACTATGTATCTGAACAGATCTGTAGAAAAATACTGTATTGTCCCTTGGATCTCTAGACAGTCAGGTATGTTTGGTAGTACCTAGTGTACTTGGTTCTTAGAAATTCACCTTGCTAATATAACTAAACACAGTACAGTGTAGTACTTTAGGATTTATATTATAGTTAGGGATCATATTTTTATACTCTATATATGTAAATCATACTTCTCCTTACTGTATTGTATGTGAAAATTTAACACTAACTCATTCCTTTTAATGAAATATAAAGGGATTACAAAAGTAAGACATTTGTGGATGAGTTTGACAGACTCAAAATGGATGAGACCTGGAAAATTTGGAGAAGCCATCCTGAAGGCAAGCTATTCTTGTCTTTACTAATATTGTTATATACTTTACTAATAATTACTGTAAGTGAACTTGTAGCAAGAGGACTGCTGACTATTTATCCTAGAGATAGGTGGACTGTAACTGATGTAC